AAAATTCACAGCCTGGCCCATGCGTTAACAACAGGATGTTTGCAGGTTTTTTTTTTTTAGCATGCTGACCACATGCACCATTTCATGTCAACCGGGTTTTAAGAGTGACATTTTTGAGGAGAGAATAACACTGACAGTCATTTATCCTCAGTGGTGTGTGATAAGTGAATACAAAGCGTTCATATCATTCTGAGGTGCAGGATCACAATGCTGCACGGTGGAACATATTATAAAAGAATTGCCATCTCTAGCTGGGCCAGCCAGGCTGTACTCAGTCACAATTTCATCATAGAGGTGATGAACATCATCTACATGTACAGTCTGAGAGACCTGATGAAAGAGAAAGAGACATAAGGCTTGACATACCAAAAGTAAATTCAGTGTACATCCAACATGTTTGCCATAATCATATTAAACAACAAGCTTTACTACAAAAAAGCAAATGTATTCATATATAATGTTGATCAGTTCATACAGTTTGTAATCATATATGCTGATACTTTAGGGTAAAATTATGTATAAAGTGCAGATGTTTTCATACCCAGTTGAGATCTGGTGAATCTTGAACTGGATTTTCAGGGACAGGTGGTTTCAGACCTGAAAAATGACCATAAACATGATGATACTGTAGAAACCAGTCACAGTGACTTAAACTGCAATAGCGATCTAAAGAAAATAAGACATGATCTCATCTCATTGTTAAATATCCATCAGTCACACATGTTCTCTATTTGATTTTTAAAAGTGACGCAATGGGGTTTTTTTTGATCACTTATTATTATTATTTGTAATATTGGATAGTCTTTTATGAAACTATCAACTCATTATTGGGTGTGTGTGGTCTTACATCTGGACTTTAAATCTGATCTTTTCCTGCATAGAGACGCTAACGCCACAAGAACCCCGAACACCAGCAGCACCAGAACACCTGCACAAACCACAGGTATGCTGACTGAGATAAAAAGACAAAAGAAGAATCATTAAATATTCTAATATGTATGTTATACAATGTTGCAAACAAATTATAATTGTCATCTTAAAATACATGCAAAAAAAAAAAACTTTGCTACCAGAGTTTTTATCCAGTGGTGTAGATCCCTTTGACTGGACTGTTGATGATGTTGGCGAGAACTGCTCATATGAATCAGACTCATCTGAAAGAGAGACTGAGAGAAAAAGAGAGAATCACGTATGATTTATACATACAACATTTCCTAAATGTTTCCCACAAGTAGGCCTAACTAAATTGAATACATTTTCCTAAATTATAAGTATTGTTGTAAAACTGATCATTAATTTGCTGACTGGATGTACCTGTAGAGGTGAGTGTTGTTGTCCATGTATATGTTTTTTGTGTGTTTTCAGGGGTGTGTGTAGATCTGCTCACAGGAGCTGCTGAGAATAAAACAGAAAAAGAGGAATTTAAAATTTTTGTGAAATATTTAAATGGGAAGATACATGTATATGCAATGTTATTCACAAACTGTTTGCATAAATACCCACCTGGACGGACAAACAGATGAACTTTATTCAGTGTATCACTGAACCATTGATCAATTCCACAGTGATAAACACCAGAGTCTGTGAGTCTGAGATGTTTGATGGTTACAGTAAAGAACAGTCCACTCACAATATCAATCAAAGAGTATCTTCCATTTGAGACGACCTGATCAGACTTTGCACTTTTAATCAAAACACGATCAGATTTACAGGGATGACGGCAAAAGTACTTGGGTGTATATTTATAGTCATCTCGATATGGACATCTGATCTCCACCGTTTCACCCACTGTTCCCTCATAAACATTTCCAGACTTCATCAACACACCGGTCAAAACTAGAGAAAACACAATTAAAAATGTCATTACTTCGTGCAGACACAGTATACAGACGGTCGTCAGACAACTACAACTGAAACAGTTGAGATGCACTCACATTTACATTGATAGCCTGTAATGAGATTAGTTTAAAACAATCTCTAATAACCAAAGAGACTGTCTTTCAATTCAATTCAATTCAGTTCAAGTTTATTTGTATAGCGCTTTTCACGATACAAATCGTTGCAAAGCAACTTTACAGCAAATTAAGTTTCTACAATATTTAGTAGAAATTAGTCTTAAATTCTTTCTGAAGTGCTCACATAATTCAGGCAAGATCATTTTATACTGAAAAAAGTGGATTTAGTACACAAGTTTGTTTGTAAAACACTTATTTAACTTAATATTTATCATTAGGATATTTCACTTGAAAGGTCACAAAGTTCATGCATTTCCTGTTTTAACATGCACACGACTGCAGTACAAGATGAATGATTATATATCAAGCAGGAAAAAAAGTATTTACCTACAAAAACAGAGAGAATCTTTAGATGGACTTTCATTCTCCCTAATTTATCACATCCTCTTTAAGCAAGATATCCTCTTTATAACAAAATAAAGCATAAAATCACAATGATAACACGATAAAATCTGTATACTGTCTCTCACTTGTTTGTTCCATCAGTTACTAGAAGAACAATGCTTTTGAGAGAGAGAGAAAGAGAAAGAGAGAGAGAGGGAGAGGGAGAGAGACTAACCTACAAAAGAAGGAACCAATGACCAATGAGCAATGAGCAGTGGGACTGGCATTGCTGCAAGGGCAAACACATAGCAGTCTTCGGTTCAGGAAGGAAATGAAGTTGATCAGCAGTGGAGCTGACACTTTTTGTCACTGATGCCTTTGCAAGTACATATTCGAATATGCAAGTTAGTGTTGTTAACAAAACTGTGAAAGACAAAAGAGGGAAACAGTCTTTTTTAGCTATTAATATAACTTCTGTTTTCTTCTTCCAATAAAAACAGGGGCTGTGAATTTCTGTGAACATCTATATGCTCTAAAATATATTTAGTAAGTCATTTAATTGCTTTGCTGTAAATTATGCTTCTATATGTTTTTTTTTATTATAATTTTTTTTTAAAACACTAGCTTTCTATTTTTTATGTTCTATCTACTTGTTTTTCTTTGTGTGTATATGTGTGTGTATAATATTTATATATATATATATATATATATATATACACCTTGCTACGTGTACTGTGTTAGGCTAACCGAGACTTGTCATTTGCACTTATATATTGTTGCTCTTTTGTTAGTTTTGACTGCTTTTATTGTCCTCATTTGTAAGTCGCTTTGGATAAAAGCGTCTGCTAAATGACTAAATGTAAATGTAAATATATATGTGCTGATTTTTCTTCGTTGCAGCTATTTTTTGCTCTACTGCAATAGACATGTAGTCAGACCATGTCTTCAATTTTCTCCTACAGAGAAATGAACATGAATTATGCATGAATTTGAAAAATGGTAGTCTACATTTCATCTAGTGTCTGCTTTGCATTTGGGTATTTTTGATCCCTCCGCCACCTGTAGGTGCGATACATGAATTGCTCCTGTTATGAAATGATACTGTGGTACAGAGACAACAGTTAGGTATGTCTTCTTTATCCACAAAATAAACTTACACTTCACATTTTAATTACATTCATTGCAGGGAAAACAAGAAAAGAGTTTAGAGTTGATAGTTTGATCCTCTGTTCCCTTTTTAAAAATCACACTTAATCAATACCAGGAATCATTGGTGGAGGTTAATTCACCAATTTGTCATCCAGCTAAAATTCATAAAATCCAATGCAATGCAATGCTTCATAAAGTCCAATGTAATACAGACAAAACGTCTAATCCACATCAGGTAAGATTACATATACAGAGATCTCAGGTATAGATCATATTTGCTAATGCAATACTTCTCAAGTGATATCTAAATTATATATTAGTTCTATATAAATAAATGCTGCCCATGGATGTGGTAATGTTTGCAGATCTGAGAGGGAGTGGGTTGTTCTAATTGTTCTAATGTTCCTCCTTGTACTGTACACTATCATCGATTTATAGTTTTAAATAAATTAATATTTACGTTTAATGAGGTAACTGAGTTTTAATAAACTCAATACTAGAATGTATATTGTGTGCACAGCTGTCATTGATACAAATGGAGGGTTGTTTGATGAACATAGTATTTGTAATGAAATCATGATGAACAAAATAATTATTTTATAATTATATAATAATTTTTTTAACAGTTGTGAATATAATGTAATACAGAGGCTCAAACTAAAAACTAAAAGATGAAAAATCCATGGCCATAAACAGATTGAACATGAAATTGAACACAATACCACATACATAATCAGAATAGTTTATAGATCTCATGTAGAAGGTCCTGCTATTTAACAAACACATACCATGAAGGAAGATCACTACTTGGGGCTTTTTTGAGAATATTTAAGAGGTTTATTTAGCATACTGCATTCTAGACAGAGTAATGATTAGTACTTAAGACTATTATATATTAGTATTTAAGAATGTTGTATGTATGCCAAAAGTTGAGAACAAATAGTCAAAATGTATCTAATTTATTTGACAAATCTTTCTCTGAGGATCCTTAAACACCAACAGATGCCCCTCAAAGCTTGACTGTTGACTGCTTAGCTGTCAGTTCTGGAAAAATCAAGTGTCCCACCTCAAATGTTTAGATATCAAATAATCCAAACTGGCTGTATTTCGGAGTGTCTGAGCCAGTTAAGGAGGAATCTCAACTTGAGGATTCAGTGACTCCTCCATGATGACGGGGCACTGGAGGACTGCAGGGGAATCTGAAGGTAGAAGCACGTACACTGGACAGATACTATCTCAACCGCTTAGGGATCTCAACCTGGGAGGAAGATTGAAAAGAAGATTAAGTATTTATAATATTATAATATTATATGATACAACATTACATAACTTTTTTGATTAATGAGTGTAAAAATCTATTTTTTAAACCATCTCTTTACTGTACCCAAATTGATAATTTGTATTTTTAATTATAATATTAAATATATTTTAGAGCTGTTGAGGCAGATTTAGAGGGAAATTGCATATATGCGTTGTGTCACTTCATATCTGTACACAGAGAAAAGCAGCTCTGGCTGTGGATAGCATGATGCTGAAAGTTTGTTGCCACAATGAACAATAAAAATTGTCCATGGATTATTCAAAACAGCAAATCTCTGGGGAATAACCATTCGTAAAAAGAACAACAACACAAAAAAAATTTTTTTTGGTCATCAGCTTTGATAAGATGTTCTGTATCCATGTGCCTCATCCCACATTCATCCATGTAGAGAAGCAGATCCAAAGCAAAATTAAAACAATGGGTCTCATCAATAATAATTGTGTGGATTATTCATATTTATACACACAGGAGGACTTCTCACTTAAAATATCTTCCTAAATCACAACATGTATCCACAAGAATTTGCTTTTAAATGAATTTGAAATATTGTAAATGAGCGACTGTGCGCCCGAGGTTAGTAATTTGCATTAAAAACATCTCCATATAAGGGCTTTCCTTTACAACCTTTAGTCAGTCTCAGTGAACACATTATGCTCTCTAAAGAGGGCTCTCGAGTGATATCAAGTGCAAGTGTGCCATCTTCAAACCACTTTAAACACAATAAACAACTTTTTACACATTCAAATGTCAAACTCAGCCAGCTGTACATACATATCTGCATTTTCTGCATAACCTCTGCATAACCTGCATACAATCTTAAAGTGATTGTAGAGCCACCAAGACTATTTTTGCATATGTTCAGGTGTTTCTATATTCTTTGTAAGTTTAGAATAAATTTTAATACAAAAATTACTGATGAGGTATGTATAAGTGAAAAATATTTTCACTCACAAGTACACACAGTGAGACCAAGGCTGCATCCGAAATCACATAGGCTACTTCCCTACTATAGCCTACACTCTTAAAAATAAAGGTGCTTCAAAAGGTTCTTCAAGCGATGCCATAGAAGAACCATTTTTGGTTCCACAAAGAACCATTCAGTCAAAGGTTCTTTAAAGAACCATCTCTTTCTTACCTTTTTATAATCTGAAGAACCTTCTTTTGCCCCAAAGAACCTTTTGTGAAACAGAAAGGTTCTTCAGATGTTAAAGGTTCTTTATGGAACCATTTAGACAAAAAGGTTCTTCTATGGCATCGTGTAGCACCTTTATTTTTAAGAGTGTATATAGTATGTGAAAAACAGTATGTGAAAAGTGTAGTATGTCCAAATTTGTAGAATTCAGAATGCAAAAAGTACCCATGTGATCTACTACTTCCGGCGCGATTCTAAAGTGCGCATCCAATGGACACTTTACTATCCCATGAGGCCACGGGAGAGGATTTTTTTTAACAGTTGCAAACTGCTAGAGGGCCAAAAATTACAAAAGTGCTTTAACTTGCATTAAAATATTTTAAGAATATAATGCTGTAGAAAGAAGCCTCCACATTTTCTTATTAAGATGATGATGTATAGTCATGTACTGGCATGTGTAGTAACATCAATGACATGTGATGTCCGTGTCACCTTTTTGAGAGCGTTCATGTTGCTGTTTCTGATAGAGTCCAGCAGCTGATCTCTGGAGCTCCTGTCCGTCTGTTGGATAGCTGCACTGCTGTCTGGCTTCCTCTGAGAGATCGGGGTCAGCGACCTCCTCAGGGCCTGAACATCTAACGCTGGGCCGGGAGGGGGTGGTGGAGGAGGAGCTTGTCGACTTCCTGTTGCACCTTCTTTCTTTCCTGTTACCTCAGATGGGAGGTGTCTAGACAGTAGCTTTGTGGGCGGAGCTTTGGGAGTTTCCTGAGCACAAGTGAATTTTGAATGGGCAGCAAATTTAGAGTCTTTCTTTTGAGTGTTGATGGGCGATGTTGTTAGCTTATTCTTCTCAGGTGAGCTCTTATCTTCACATGGGGTGGAGGCGGTCTCCTGTCTGGCGAGTTTTTGCGCTTCTAGTCGTTGCTGCCTCTTCCTGTCCATGTTTCGGCTCAAGATGTTCGTCATGGCCATTCTGGGCCCAGCCAGCTCAAAGTGATATCCCAGCTTCAGCAGTGAAGAGTTGTAACGTAAGACTTTGGCCATCTCCATTTCAGTCTTCCCTCCGCAAATGTGTCTCTGGTTATGAAACCTCAGCTCCATAAGCGTGCTGTTGTGCTGAAGAGAGTTGATGATGGCCAGGATGCCTTTGCCTGTCAAATGATTCGAGTCGAGGTTGATACTGGTCAGGGTCGAATTATTTCGTAGAGTTGCAGCAATGGCGAACGCGACATGATCATCCGCTCTCGTGTTTGCAAGGCAGAAGGTTTTGATGTGAGTGTTGCTGCGAAGACCTTCTGCTAACTGTATCAGGGTGTCTGTCTTAATGGCGTCTGAATTATTGACGATGAGCTCTGTTAGTTCAGGGTCATCGCTGCGAACCTGCTCCAGAAGGTCATCAAACATGCTGAAGCCAGTGTCACTGTCCATATCTTCGCTAAAAGACTCATCCTCCTCAGTAGTAACAGAACGGTCATCCAAGCCATGAGAGTTCAATGAGCTGTTATGGCTGGAAATGGTAGATATTTTCACCTCGTTGTTTTCTGATTCTTTCACTTCTTCTTTTTCACTCTCTTTCTGTGCTCTGGTTGTATCTCTCTGTGAGTGATGTTTCTCATCCTCCGCTTCTCTCTCTCTTCTTCTGCTTCTTTCTTCTATATTTCTAAATCTGCTTTTCTTCTCCTCTGTTTCTTCATCTTTAAGGTTTATTCTACCTCCTGCTCTGTTGTTCTTTGGTTCTTCTATGGTTTTATTTCTGCTTTCATATTGTTTCTTGACATCTGCCTCATTGTCTTTTACTTTTAGGTCTTCAGTGTCTTTATCCCCCTGCAGTTTGGAGACAAACCCTCGTATTTTGGAGTTTTCACTTGCTTTTTTCACCTCCTTCCTCCCTCTTTCTTTCTTATCCTCTTTTTTCTCTTGCAGTTTAGATATGAGGTCTAGAGTTTTGCTGCTTCCTCTTTCTTTCATAGAAAGCTCTTTTCCACTTTCTGTCTTATTACCTGTTCTCTCTCTTTCTCTCTTCTCCTCCTCCCTTTTCTTCTCTATGCCTTTTTCTTCTTCATCAGATACATTCCTAGAGTCATCCTCCCTTTGTCTTGCTCTCTCCTTATCTTTTTCGCTCTCAGTATTTCTGCTCTCTGTGTCGGGAGGATCGCCACTCTGCGACCTGGAAAACTCTCTGCTCCTCATCCGGCGGAGTCGATCTCTCCTTCTGCCGTCCCCTCCCTTCAAACATTAAACACAAAATACGTTATTCACCACAGCGCATTAAATCTGAGAAGCTGTTTGTCTTTTGACTGTTTGAATATCTGATTTTGGCTAATTGTTATCTGACTTTTGACATCTTAATCACCATATTCACATTCTATATTAGTTTCCATTTGCTTTCATTTTGGTGTAATTATTGATAAATATCAACATCATCATTAAATCCGTGGGGGCATCAAACAAACGAAACTTATCTAGAATAATTACAGCCGATGGCTGAACCCAGCTGGACCGAGTGAATTATTTTTAGTGGTCATTAAAATGGAAAGAACGTACTGTGCAGATTTGTGAGCTATTGTTTGAAGAAGTTTTAAAACTCTCAGATGTGCCCTTATAAGGCAGCAAAGGGAGGAACATTCAGGCCTGGAATTCCTTGACAGTTCCAAAGCCTCACTGTGGCCAAGCTTTAAGTAAACACATTCACAAATCTCTGAAGTGCATCACTCTTAACCACTGACTACTGTAAAATTACCTGAACATAAATTTTATTCTCACAGCTGTTTTACTGAATACATGCGGAAGTGACTTAGCAAGTTCACTCTGCCAACACAATGACGCAGCTGAACAAACTTCACAGCAGAATATCAAATGAGATCAGAAAGATGGTCTTTACAGGTCAGGATTGATCAAAAATAAACTACAAACAGGGAACCACATTTATAAAGAGCACAATGTTACTTAGTAACGTAAGATTCCTCTGAGATTATGTGTGTGTGTTCTGTTGCCTGCTGAGCATGTTTCAAACAAACACTTCAGTGTCTCAATAGAGTTTAAAAGTAGTTTGTGGCCCCTTGAGTGCATCTCACATTACCAGTGCTTCATTAGCACCTATTTAATCACGTAAAACACAACTAGCACTCCCAAAAACACAAGGAACACCATCCCAGAAGGACCAGACCATCTGTTCAGCTCTGTTACTCTAGAAAATACTAATTTTTACACCATACCCCAAGAAAATCCTATTGAGGTGGATCCAAAAATGAATGACTTCAGCAACTTTGATGTCAAAAGTTAGTTCTGCATAGTTTAAATGGAGTGCCAACTACAAATAACCATCACCACCAAACGGAGAGAGAATCCTGTCTTTATACCAGACAACAATAAACTATCATGATACTAAATGTTTATAAAGACATTTGGCTGTAAAGAATATTACACACTCAGGATTTTCACCCAAGAGAAGTTTATACTCATTCCAAACAGAAGAGCATGAAAATTGTAATATTTGGAAAAATCTAATTGTGCTCTGAAAATAACTTATTCTTGTCAGAAATGGAGATTTGTTTTTGGAAAAAAAAAAGCTTTGATTCACACTTGGATGTACAAAGAGTTTTGTAAATGTGCAGAAAATACTCCAAACCTTCATAACAGATGATGGCAAAATTATAGGCCATTAGGATCCCTTAGTGTGCCGTGTGTGTGCAGCAAAACAGGTGTTGATACATCATGGGACCATGACAGGCATGTAGGCCATACTGATTAACAGGGATCTCAGTGCTAAATCAGCCATTCACTACATGTGTTCACAGATCTACAAATATGTCACCCTGTGATGAGATCTTAAACAGTTAGAGACTGAATGACAAATGACCACAGGTCAGCTCTTCATTGTTCATTGTCCCTGCATGCAACAACATACAAAAATAAATCCATATGTTAATGTATTTTGGAAATTTGGGTTAATTGCAGTGGTAATATTCCAGTGGTGACGTTTAGAATTTGTCAAATTATTAAGAAATCTAATTAGATTTAAGAAGAGTTTTGTTGATGGACTAAAATAGCTCTAACTCTTGGAAGCAAATGCCATTATACACTAGGTAAATTACTATTATTATTATTACTAACAATAAACATAAAGAAAATAATGAAATTAAGTTAAAAAAAATATATATATATAATAATTATATTTCATTTTAATTATATAACAGTTTACAACAACAACAACAACAATAATAATAATAATAATAATAATAATAATAATTATT